AAAGAGTGTTGTAAGGGAGAACTTGGAAGTGAGGTAGTTAGAAATCTCAGTCACATGGGTGCCAGGGAGAATTTAACAACCAGTCCTTGCAGGGAGAACAGGAACAGAAATTCAACTGGATTTCTCAGAGAGCAGAACAGGAAGACTGGGAAAAATCCAAGTAGCTCTAGGGATCGGGACAGATTGTCACTGTCTGCAGTTGTCATCTTCTCTGAAGTGTGTTGTACCCTGTGTCTGCTGCTTTGTGTTTATCTCTTTACAGGCTATGGACCAATGCCCTTACCCCACTCATAGCTTGGGCTTACTTGTAATTTTGATTTACTCACAAATGTCACTTACTCATGATTGCTCATGGTTCTTGCCTCCTCCTGACCTCTCTCTGCATCAGTTTCTGCTCCCAGTGGCAACCAACAATTCTCCCTAAAAAAAAATCTCATAGTTCGAGTCTCCAGTGGTGAAAATCGAATTGGTCCAGCTCATTATAATTGTCTCTGTTGAGAAAGAATGTTTCAAGTCAGACCACCTCATGGGTTGGCTGCCCTGAGCTGTCCAATGATGTGAGGCACAGTTTCCCATTAAAGGTAGCATGTGACTGTGCAGCTGGGCATCAGGTCTGTGTCCTGTCTGTGCCCAGACTGGAAACTTCCGAAAGGCAAGGCCCGGGCACTGAGCAGTACCTGGGCCTGGGACTCTGTGATTCCCTTCTCCGTCATCAGGGAGAGTCCCTGGGCTAGCCTGAGGACTAGAAGGTGGGAGCTGAATCTAATGTGAGGGTCCAATGGCCCCATGTGAGGAGAGAGAAGGGAAGCAGAGTGTGAGAAGCAGGCAGCATCAGGGGGCATTAGTCAGCCAGGTCATCTCCAGTCTTCATTTGCATCTAGGGGTCTGGGTACAGATAACTGGTGTGAGGGGATGGCATTTTCCCAATTTCACATTGCACAGTGGAAAGAAGAGACTTTACTTCCTATTAAAAACTCAAATGATATATTCCAGCCAATAGGCACAAAACTTTTTTACTGCCACTCAACCATGCATCTGATCTGGGTCTTAACGCTGTAAAGTCTGGCGAGGCCTGGTCACCAAACTGTGCTTGGGCCAAATCTGAATGAAGTGTGTCCCCCAGAGTATCCATCCAGTGAAAAGGTCCTGGACTTGAGAGGGTCAGGCAGGTGGTTAATACATTGTGACACAGTTGGGCTTGGGAGGTTAATGCAGTAGAGAAAAGTTAACTGGAGAAGTCATTTGGCTGCAGATGACCTTGGGCTGGTGCTGAAACCTGAAGAGCCCTTTGAAATCAATCTCGGCTGGGCTCAGTGGCTCAGCCTGTAATCCCAGCACTTTGGGAGGCCGAGGCGAGTGGATTGCCTGAGCCTCGGCCTCCCTGGGTTCGAGAATAGCCTGGGCAATATGGCAAGACCTCGTCTCTATAATAAATCAAAAATTAGCTGAGCGTGCATACTCCTGTAGTTCCAGCTACTTGGAAGGCTGAAGAGGAAGGATCACCAGAGCCCAGCAGATTGATGCTGGGATGGCTATGAGTGTGCCACTGCACTCCAGCCTGGGTAATGGAGTGAGACTCAAACTTAAAAAAAAAAAGAAAAAAGAAATCAGTCTCAGGTTGTACCAGGGCATCATTCTGAGCCCTGTGCCAGTGTATGTATCAGGGTCCTTGGTTGTAAGCAACAGAGACTGAGCCTGGCTAGTTTCAACAGGTAGAAAGGCACAGTGGGCTCACAGAACAAAGACCTAAACTTGGAGACATGTGGTCACCAAGGCACCTGTGCTTAGAGGAAGGAGGCGCAAGTGTCTTTCAGCAGGGGCATCTTGTCCAAGGTATCCCACAGTCACTTCAGGGCACCCTGGCCACCTTGTGAAGGACTCCTAAGGATCTTTCATTGTAGCATTACCAGTTCAAGAGTCTGAGACTCTGTACTTAACCAGCTAATCCCAGGCCACAGCCAATGCCTTCCCTGCCAGGGGGTGGGGAGAGGACCGTCCCTTCCTTCAGCCCATGGAGTGGGGGGATGGATGATAAGACCCCCTGAAGACCATCACAGTGGGAGAGTCTCTCCAAGTAAGAAGCAGGGTGGGCTGGTGGATGGGCAAAAATAAAGTCAAATTCTACTATTGCCTTCAAGTTGCCCACTTGAGTGAACTTGAACTGCTTTTTATTCTACTCAGCACCCTAACCCCTGTAGCTTTGTGTGGTCCTATGGGGGTCTTGCTTTGTTTCTCATTCATAGCAATGACGACTGGGTTCATTTACTCCACCTTCTCAGCAGCCCCTGCCCTGACACCTGCATTTTTCTTGCTGGTCAGGGACCCAGCAGGAAACAGATGGCACACTCAAATAAGATAAGCAGATAAGAGTTTAGTTTAAAATAAAGACCACTCCAAGTGTGAAGGCAGGATGTAGGAAAAACAGAAGGGATAGTGTCACCTTTCAGGACTTGCAACAGTGGGGCTTCAGTAGCACTTGAAGGCGATGAAGGGACCAAGAAGGGAGCAGGTAGAAGGGAGGGTTGGGAGGGAGAGAGGGGTGGCAGAGAGCAGGAGTGAGACCACAGGAGCCATGACCTGTGATCTATAGTTGCTGGGTGCCTCCAGCCCCCAGGAGTGATCTGGGGACTGACCCCAACCTTGTTCTCCTTTCCTCTGATTTCCTTCCCGTGGTCCAACCCTGTGTCCAGGAAGACAGAGGGCAAGGGAGTCTTGATGCAGTCTATAACTGTCAGCTCCCAGGGTGTGAGCTGGTGGAAGACAGAAGGAAGAGCTGGAAGGGCACATCTGAGATGTCCAGCACAGGGCTGTCCTCCCGGGCAGTGGTCTGGAATCCAAAATTTGACCCCTATTTGCCTGTTACTTATGTTTCCTGGCCTGTATTTTGCTAATCAACACCCAGTGGCAAGCACAGAGCCAGAAAGAGGAGAAGGAAGCTTAAGCAACAATAAGAATCACCTGATGTGGAGGGCGCCGGCCCAGGGATGTGTAAGGCATGGAAGGTGGACCAGTCGGCAGGCAAAAGTTGATGTCTGGAACACTACACAACAGGCAACAAGGCAGTGGTGCAATCGTGGGCACAGGGAGGTCCAACTTGGAGGGACTTGGATGGTCCATGCAATTATTGGGTACAGCCATGAGGTCTCTCCAGCCAGATTCAGAGACCTCAGCAGATAGATTTGGCTAAAAAAATGATTAGGGGAATCTCCATTTCTGGCACCATGTGAGGTGCTGAGAAACTAAAGATGGACAAGACAATCCTTTCTGATAATTTCAATATAATGTGAAGTGTGATTAGATAGAGTTATCCAGAGGGCTCCTGGGGGGCCGCTGTCTGAGACTTGATGGAGAGGAGGATGCCTGAAGGATACGTGAGAGTCAGGCCAAGAAGAGAGGGAAGAACATCCCTACTGCAGGGAGTGGTCCAAGCAAATGCCTGTGAATGTGAGTGCCCACAGCGCAGTCAGGCATGGCTAGGGTGGGAGGCAGGACATGGCAAGATGTGGGCAGATGGAAGTAGGGCATGACAGACCTCATGAGCCTTGCCGGGAACAGACAAGGAGGAGCACATTTCACTGTGTGACTGAAGGACAGACTTTGAAGGGTTTAAAGAAAGGAGCAATATGGTGACAACTGCATTTGGGTGGCCAGTTTGAAGCTGGATCAAAGGGCCAGAGAGCCATGAAGAGTGAATTGTGATAGTTCAGGTGGGAGAGGATGAGGGCTTGAGCCTAGGCAGGGATATCTGCTAGGACTGGTCCCACAGAGCCACAGGGAGCAGTCGTGCTCAGAAATCCCTGCCCCTGTTCTCATCCTACCTGGTATGGTATGAATGGATTACTGCTGCTGCTCCATCCTGTGTGGTGGCTTTCCCCAGCTGTCTGTACTTAGGGCCCTCATGGATTTAAGCAAATAGTATTGCCTATGGGTAATTACAGTCTAATCTGATGGACTCAGGGAGACCCAGGTAGATGTCAGATTTCCAACCTGAGTGGCAAAGAGATAAGGCAGGACCCTCTGGGGAAACTTGCTGGATGCTGCTGGAAGTTGGGAAGGGTGGGAGAGGGTGAGGAAGGATGGCCAGCCCTCTAGCTGGGGAGCCTCCTATGTCCCTCATGAGAGTCACAAGGGCAAAGGGAATGCTCATGGAAAAGGTGGGCTTAATCTGTAGTTCCCACCCAGTCACCTGCCTGAGGTTAAGCACATCACTACAAATAGCGAACTCGGGATACCAAGCACCTCCGGTGGGCCTGGCAGTCTTTCTCAAGGTGTTCCTGTAGACAGAGTTACAAGTCATTTTCACAAAAACTTTTAAAAGGAGATCTGGGGGAGGGTGAATCAAATGGGAGAACCAGTCCCCAGCTCTGAGGGAAGGTCAGGCACAGGGGCAAGGAAGTTTCTGCTCTGGGACTTCGATTTTCCTTCCCTTTAACCCAAACACACTAGAAGTACAGTCAGGGCTGGGGTGGCTGGCAGTCTGGCCCTTTTCTATCTTCTCTCTGAAGATTAGAAGGGGCAGAGCCCAAAGCCAGGGTGTGTCAAAGTACACAGTGTCTATCCCTCTCTCCATCTTCCCTGATCCTTCTGCTACCTCCCACTTCTTCTTTCTTTCCTTCCTATATCCACAAGATATGCAGCAACATCCACCTACTTTCAAAAGGTCCCACAGTTGGGCTTACCTGTCCAGCGCGACTCTGTCCAGACGCTGAGCAAAAGAATATCTCCCTCCATCCCTGCAATTTTCCCCCGCCACCTCCATCCAAACATTCCTGGCCCCCAGGCAATCTCCATAGACCAACTCACACTAAGGTGTGGATAACCAGCAAATCACTCTTAAACCCCCAGGGTGTTTGCTCATTACGCCAAATGGATTACTAATTGGGGAGGTTTCTTTTAACAAAGGCTTGTTGAGCGTCAGGTTCTGCACTCGAGGAGCACGGGTGAGAGGAGGCTCTCCCCCTTCAGAAGCAAGACAGGAACACAAATGACAAAAATTAATCAATGTCACAAAGAGGTACATACCTTTATTAAGATAGAGGTGTGGGGGACAAGGAAAGGCCTCATGCACTTCAACGATGTGAGTTGGGTCTGGAAAGACCGGGAGAAATTGGACATACAGTTATGAGGAAGAGGGGTGTCAGGCACTTCAGACACATGGTGCAATGGAGAGGAACCTGGAACTTGCATCCAGAAAACAATGAGCCTTCCAATGTTGTGAGGATGATGCTTCTGCTCAAAGTATGAGTTTCCTTCTCCTCCCAGGATGCTCCAGCCAGTCCAGTCCCTCTCTCACCAGAAGAAGGGGCCAGACATTGTCTTATCTTTCTGTTTTGCCTGAAGGCTTGCCTTGAACCACCTCTTAGCAACCCAGCTCCCACCTGACTCTCAGCTCCGTGGGCAAACCCACCTGTCATCGGCTGTGTTGGATCGCAGGCGACAGGGCTCTGTGCGGCCTCGGCGCAGCACCCCCCAACCTTTCCCAATGACTCCGTTGCCTTGCCTCTGGTATGACCCTCCCCAAATACTTGGTTTCTATAACTGTAATAATAGTCCTCCCTCTGAATAGCTTACCCACTATTTATGCCTAATTACCATGTGGCACAATAATGATTATGTATAGCACTAAATGTGTCAGATTAACTTTGCTCAAAGTTTTGCTTCATTACAACACCAAAGTCAATTCAAGTGCCTTGTGGATTTAACCTCTCTGGGCCTCGGCTCCCACATATGCAAAATAAGGGGCGTGGCTTAGATCAGTGACTTCCCCACTGCCTGAGGCTCCGAATCACTGGTTGGCTTTTCAGAAATATAGAACCCTAACACCCTTCCCCTAATTTATGATCTAATAAAGCAGGCATTGGGCCCACAAATCTGTGTTTTTCTCTTTGCTTCTCAGAGGTCGGTTGGTTTGTTGGTTTCCATCCAATTCCAGGACTGGTATCCGGAAAACTCCAGAGTAGTCATCCCTGCAACCCTTTCCAAAACTCATTGATTCATTCACTCGGAGGGGATGGTATCCACAATGAGGCTGGAGAGAGACAAGAACAGATATGACAAAATTTTAATCAATTTAGCAAGACCAGAATTTATCTCAAAGGCAAAAGGAAAGACTTTGAGAGGTTTTAAGCAGGGTGACATGATCAGTTAATGTTTTAGAAGCAGCATTCTTATTCAGTGGATGATGGCTGGAGTGGGGAGAGCAGTAGAAGACTTTGTAATAAAATCTTCACCAGAGAGGATGATGCCTGGGTTGGAACAGTGGCAACAGGGGTGCAGAGTACATGGATCCATGTGGTATTTAGACAGTAGAATGGGCAGGACTCAGGGAGTTGTTTTTTTCCTTGGGGTTTGGATTCTGTCTGGCTCCACAGCCTTTGTCCCCTTCCTGTACTAGAGAACCCCTCACTGTGTGGTTCTTGGTGGCAGGTACAGCCCTCCTCCCACTGAAGGACACAGCTCATGCCCCAGCTCAGCCAATGAGAAGCAGCCACCCCAGGTTTTGACCCAGGGGCTCATGACTCAGAGACACAGAGACAGTGGAGAATCCAGTCTAGTGGCAGCACAAGTAGCCATAACTCTCAGTTTCTAGGAACAACATCACAGGGTGCCAGGGGTATACAGTGTCTGGTGCCAGCCATGGTGGAGATGCCATCTGGCACTCTACAATAGCTGAGTTCTCACTGGACTGCTTCTCAGGCTTGATTTGGATTGAAAACTTAACAGTATCTAGCTGTTCCTGCCTGTTTTACAAGCCTGGTTCTCTAATCGCCTCTGCAATTCTGTGAGCTACTGCAATATTTTCAATGAACTTCTTTCTGTTTAAACTGCCAGAATTGTTTGTTCCTCACACCCAGATTCTCTGGCTGCTACCCGGATTATGTTGGAGGAAGAGAAGGCATGAGCAGCTGGATGCAGTGGTTCTCAGAGATGGGAACACAGGACAGGTTGTGGGGAAAAGAATCCCAAATGCTGCTGGCTAGTTTATTGATGACAAATAAATTGCTCCTTATTCACTTACCCTCAATTAAAAAAAAAAGTGAGATTGAGCTTTTCTTCACAATTGAGAGTTTTCTCTGAACTGCAAAAGCCCATTCAGAACCTGAGTGGCTGAACAACCCTTGCATTTACAAACTACCTGCAATCCAACATCCAAGTTTGATGGCCTGGTCCCATCCTTTGCAAAGGGAAGCCCTTTCACCCCCTTCCCGGTGTGCTCCCCAAATTCATGACAGTTGATATCACAAGGTTATTGGAAGGCGAATGTGATCCCAGATGAAAAAATACTTTATTATCTATAGAAGGGGCTAAAGAACTTCAAGGCAGTAGATTGCACTTACCTAAATATAACTTCAGAAGTTTTATATATACATTGATTGCTTTTTAAATTCAGTCATTTTCCTACTTATTTACTTAGCTATTTCCAAGATGCTTTATTTTGTTTCCACATATATTGGCAACTGCAATAACCACTGAAACACAGGTATATATTTTTTTATTGTGGTAAGAGAGAGATAATTTACTATTTTAACCATTTTAAGTGTATAGTTCAGTAGCATCAAATATATTCACATTGTTGTACAACCACCACCACCATTCCACTTCAGAATTTTTTTCATCTTCTCAAACTGAAATCCTACCTTCCCCTGGCCTCTGGCAATTATCACTTCACTCACTGTCTCCACAGACTGACTTTTCTAGGTACCTCATATAAATGGAATCATACAGTATTTGTCCTTTTGTGACTGACTTATTTCACTTGGCATAACGTCCTCAAGGTTCCATGTGGTGGCATGTGTGAGAATTCCCTTCCTTTTTAAGGCCTAACAAAATTCCATTGTATATACATACTATATTTTGTTTATCCATTTGTTTGATGGATACTTGGGTTGTTCCTGTCTTTTGCCTATTGTGCATAATGCTGCTATGAATATGGGTGTGCAAATAAGGTGTATATATTTTATGACCCTTTCCCATCAAGCAATTAAATGTGTAATATAGATCATTGTAACTCTGAAGAATTGTATGACAGAATTTCTTAAAATGGGTCACACCTGTATCTCCACTATTTCAAAACAGGAGGCAGCAAAGAACAAATGTCCATTTCACACTGAGGTGGAAAAGCTCGTTAGCTTCGATCAGTGAGTAAATCATTCTCTAAGGGCAGATTACACACACAGATGTCAACTTCTCAGGTAACTAACTCTCTGCTCTCCTGCCTTGGTGGGACAGTGGCCTGAACTTTGGTTCTCTTAAAAAAAAACCCTCTGTCTCCCCACCCTTCCCTGGGGACAAGGAGCTTAACTACCTTCAGCCCCTTCACTAGATTATTCTGACATGGGGCTGTGGAATTCTGGACAACAATAGTACCAAGAATTCTGCACCAACCTAAAGTTTGTACTTTGAGAAACATAATAAAGTAGAAGGACTGTTTGCCCCACACTTCCTCTGACCCACTGCATCCCTAGTGTTCACAGTCATTTGCAAATGAGACGAAAACAAAATGATAAAAGACAGAGGAGCATGAGAAGAGAGAAATTCTCAGAACTTGAAAACAGGGCCCTGTTTTCATCGGCAAAGTAGGTTAGGGAATCAAGAGTTGAACACACCCAGAGTGTCTTCATTTCCTTTAGTTCTTCTCTAGTTGAGGGTTTCTGTAAGTGGGATAAACCCGATGAGCACCAGTAGGTGTCAGTTGTCATTCCCACTCAGTCTTCATAACAGCTTTGCAATATGGCTTCCTATCTCCATTTTACAAACCAGGAAACTGAGCCTCAGAGACACTCAGAACTGTCCAAGGCTGTGGGGTTTAGATGTGAACAAAGCCCTGTGTGATTCCAGTGTTGCTGCTGTCCTGACTGACCTTTCAGATGAGGGCATTTTCCTTATTTTCTGTAGGGTGGTTTTTCAGAAGGGGGCTGTGACAGTCTGTGTTTCTCTGGGGGTGCATCAGAGTTTTATAGAAACCATCGAGGGCCCTCTCTTCCAAGCCAGCCAGCCCTGGTTCTCCACCTCAGAGGGGAGTTCGTGGAGCATGGAAGGGGGGCGGGGGTAGAGCTTGAGTGCTTCCTCATTCTCTGTTGGCTCAGTCTTTTTTTCCTCATTACAACAAAACACCCACCTGCCCCTAACCCACCTCCCAACCTGCTATGGTCTGAATGTCTTTGTCCTCTAAAATTCACATGTTGAAATCCTAAACCCCACCAAGCTCGGTGGCTCAGCCTGTAATCCCATGCCTTTGGGAGGCTGAGGTGAGTGGATTGCCTGAGCCCGTGGGTTCGAGACCTACCTGGGCAGGCAAGACCTCATCTCTACAATAAATAAAAAAATTAGCCGGGCGTGATAGCACACGCCTGTAGTTCCAGCTACTTGGAAGGCTGAGGCGGAAGGATCGCCGGAGCCCCCGCAGGTCGAGGCTGCGATGACCAGGAGCGGCCACTGCACTCCAGTCTGGGTGACAGAGTGAGACTCCAACTCAAAAAAAAAAAAAAAAAAAGAAATCCTAATCCCCAAAGACTATGACATTAGAAAGTGAGACCTTTGGGAAGTGATGGGGTCATGAGGATGGCGCCCTCATCAATGGGATTAGTGCCCATATAAAAGAGGTCCACGAGAGCTCATTTGCCCCTTCTGCCACATGAGGACATGGTGAGGAGGGACTGTCTACAGACCAGAAAACCTGCCCTCACCAGACATCAAATATGCAGGATCTTGATATTGAACTTCCCAGTCTGCAGAACTGTGAGAAATAAATGTGTGTTGTTTGTAAGCTGCCCAGTTTCTAGTATTTTGTGATAGAAAACCAAATGGACTTACACAGCCCTTAATGCCCACTCCTACCCGTTTGCTTACCATTCTCAACAATGAAAGGGGTAGAAATAAGTTAAAGATTCAGGCAGGACACCAGGTAAAACTTCCTGACTCCAAGGCTCTGGAACATAAAACAGATGAGGAATTCAAAGAGCCAGCTGTACACCCCTTTCAGGAAAGCTATCAGGTCAAGGAACACCCTGCCCCCACCTGACCTACTTGGACTGGGTACAGTTCTGCCTGGAGGCCAGGGGAGGCACCAAATGACCTCCAGAGGGCCCTGACAACCCAGGGAAGTGGGGGGCCTCTGGTGCAGCCGCGCTTGGCTGCAGATGTTCCCTGTCATCAATCACTCCAGTGCGTCTGTTTGCTGTGCTGCTTGTTTAAAAAGTGAGGTGTCTGCTAATTGAAAACTAAAAGATCCATCCATCTCAGTCACAGCCGGCACGAAATCCACTCAGCCATGTGATATCAGGGTAGAGAAGGCAGTGCAGAGCTTAAGTGTCCTTGGGTGGTGCATCCTATGGAGGTCATCTTGCTTCTGCTTCTGCTTCTGCCTCCTGCCCCAGCGAGGCCACCCTCCCCATCACAAGCAGCAGGGGTTGCCCATTTTATAGCTGTCTAACACGTCCTCATCTATTATTCTCCATGCAGCCCTGATTTAAAGCTGGGGAAACTGAGGCATAGTGTGATTAAACAGTTTGGACAAGATCACACAACTGGTAGGTGCCAAAGGCAAGATACCCACCCAGGTGCTCTGACTGGTCTGACCCATCCCGGAACCTACGCAGAAGTGCTAAGTTGGGAGGCACCTCGTCCCTCCTTACGTTGATTAAATGTAGGAAAGAATGGCCCCAAAGTATACTAGGGAGACACTGGGATTTCAACCATTTCTGTAATATCTGATTGTTTTAAAAGCAAATATGGCAAAGTGTTACTGATAGGATTCCCAATTGTTGTCACACTTCCCTATCAAGCCAGCAGGTGCATGGGGGACAGGCCAGAGCCACACAATAGTGCAAAAGGCAGAGAGCAAGGAAGAGACAGAGGCATGCTGATCCCCCCTCCCTCCCCGCCAGGCTTCCCTTGCCCCAAGTACCTCCAGAGATGCTGGATTCGTGAGAAGTGCTCTTTTGTGTGTCTCAGAAGAGGGATACCAGTCCAGTGCTGGATCTCTGCGGGATTTGCAAGGGCAATCTCTGGGCCTCAGTTCTCCCTTCTGAAGTGAAAAGAAAGTAGGTGAATGCTAAGGTCCTTTCCAACCCCAACTTTGTATAATTGTATGCATCATTGAAAGAAATGCTAAGACAAGTTGAGTCTTTGTGGACTAGAGTGGCTTGACTGCAGTCATGCAAGACTGACCCCTGTGTAGCAGGGAGTCAGTCTTCTGTCCTTGCTGTGTTCTTTGCCTGGAATCCTTCTACCCTAGGGAACTAATGTTGCTCCCTCAACGCCCAGCTCCTGTGAGGTCTTGGGTTTTCGTGCTTCACAGCACCTGCATCAGTCACAGGTATTTCCCTAGAGGTCTCCTGTCTGGACTGGCAGGGCATGGGAGCAGGGGCCTGGTTTTATTCCTCTCTGTGATCCCTGAATCTGCCAAAGTCTGGCAAAGTGAGAACCGTCAGTAACTAACTGCTGAAGAAGAAAGAAAGAAAAGGAGAGAGGCAGGAAAGGAGAGAAGGCAGAGCTCTCTGCAGCCCAGATGACCCCAGCAGGGGCAGCCCAGAGCAGCCCTCACCACGCCCACCTCCCCTCCTCCCGCTCCCCAGGCCCCACCACACACACCTGTTTGGAGTCAAAGGTGAGCAGGAACCCCAGAGGCCGCCTTTCTCCTTCCCAGCTCAGGTCAGCACCAAGCAGGCTTCTCCTCTGGAAGAGCCAAGCACCAGGAAGGACCACAGAGATTCCCAGACCTGAAGCCAGAAAACGGGTCCTGGACCCCTCCCGACACCTCCTCCTCCTCCTCCTTAGCGATTCGCTGGATAGGTGCTGCCGCCCGCAGCCCTGGGCTTCTGACTCCTCGGAGGAGAGGACTGGCAAGCAACGCTTGACCGAGGCGACCCGGGCCACAGTGCTATTCCGGGTGTGCGTGGGAGCACAGCGGGCGGCCGAGGGCTCGGCTCCCGCCTAAGAGTGAGGGATGGCGGAAGCCCCCACCCCCTCCCGGCTCCCCCCAGGCCCGGGGGCGCCG